TATTATTTAGAGTTTACCCCCCCCCCCGAATCAGACATGCTGACAAAGCATTGTGAAGTGATTTGCTTCTACAGCTGGGTTCAAGAATTAAATGTTGGTTTTGGATTTCTGCTATTTTACCTATTGACCCTGGAAGTATTTCTACTGAAAGTCAGATAGTTAAGAAATTGGTTTCTGTGTTCTGGAGTCGTGGCCGTGCTGGAGAGCCGCTCGCGGGGGGCGACTGGTGACCTCAGTAGGGCGTGAAGGACGGACCCGGACGCCCCCCGACCCATGAGGTTTTAGTCGCCCCCACTTCCCCGGCTCATACCTGCTGTCCACAAGGCTCCCATGTGGCCGCCATCTTCCTTTCCAGAGGGAGGAGGGCGGAAGGAAGCAACACCCTTTCCCCTCTGGGCAGAAATGATTGCCTGGATTAACGCATAGTCCTTTCACTTTTCTGCTCCAAGCTGCTGGGTTCTGCATTAGGTCCTTGTGCTTCTGGGGCTGTGGCCGTGCTGGAGAGCCGCTCGTGGGGGCAACTGGTGGCCTCGGTAGGGCGTGAAGGGCGGACCGAAATGCCCCCCTTCCCATGAGGTTTTAGTCGCCCCCACACTCCCGGCTCATACCTGCTGTCCACAAGGCTCCCATGTGGCCGCCATCTTTCTTTCCAGAGAGGAGAGGGCGAATGGGGCAACACCCTTTCCCCTCTGGCAGACTTGATGGCCTGGATCAACGCATAGTCCGTTCACTTTTCTGCTCCAAGCTGTTGGGTTCTGCATTAAGTCCTTGTGCTTCTGGGGCCGTGGCTGCTGGAGAGCCGCTCGCGGGGGGCGACTGGTGACCTCGGTAGGGCGTGAAGGACGGACCGGAACGCCCCCCGACCCATGAGGTTTTAGTCGCCCCCACTCCGAAATATGGGGTGTTTCTATCCCAAACCCTAATCCCTGTCCCAAAACCCAACCGAAAGAATATATTTCGTATTATCTGTTATGAAGAACTGCTGAACATGCTTACAAAAAAGTATTAATATAGGAAACAGTGTGACGATTGTTCTGTTTTTGCAGGATCCATTAAGACATTCTATAGGAAATCACTAACATGTTGTTAAAGTTTGGTTGATATGAGCTTTGGTATATATATATATATATATATACATATATATATGAAAATATGTATATATATGTATATATGCACACATATATATTTCCCTCTATGATTTGTTGCCTACTATCTGAACCCCATCAAAATGTGGTGTAGTAATTATGGAGAATGGGTAGGGAGTATTTTATGATGTGTCTAGGATTATGTTCACTCATATATATGTGAGGCTCGGCCTGAGTGCGTGGGGAACGGTCTTGAGCCAGGTGGCGGTTGGGTTGTGGAGAATTTTGGCTGCCAGAGCTGGGTCCCTTGGGGTGGGGAGGGCTCTCACCCGCCCCTCTCTGGGGCAAGGGAGGGAAAAATGTTTTGAGGGAGAGGTCTCAGACAAATGGTTTGAGAAACACCGTTCCAGGAATCCTTCTGGGTTTTGTGGCAGCTCTGTCTAGCTCCTTTGCCCATTTTGGTCTAAACAGTTCTTTCACTCCTGAGCTCTCGGGGGACAATCCTAGTTCTCCCCTCACCCCACAAGGGTGGGGAAACTTTGGGGTAAGACATGAAGTGACTTTGAGTCCAGTCCCCTTCCCCTGGCAGAAGGAAGCCTGAGCACCCACCCTTTGCTCCTGGCCTGGAAGCAGGCCTGCCTGGTCTCTCTGTGCCCCCAGGAGGGTGGGGGTGGGGCAGAGAGATGTTGGGGTTAAAGCTAACAGCTTTGGACAGGGTGGAAATTTCCACTCCTATCTCGGCAGCCATCAGTGCTATGTGCCCTGACCTGGGCCTTTGGCCTCCAAAGGGCAATGGGAAGGCCAGCCCCAGGGCCAATCCCTGGCCATTAATCCCTCCTGCCAGCCTGAATATCCACCCAGCATGGTCAGACAAAGGACTGCCCAGCCCAGTGAGTGTGTTCCTCCTGCCCCGGGGGCTCCACACAGACACTGGGCTGCCTGGAATCCAGGCTGATGAGAAAGTTGCAGCCCTCATGGGCCATCTTATGCCCGGATGCTCAGCCACATTGCGTTTGGCCCAGGGCCTGTGAAAAGAGGGCCCAGCCACGCTGAAAACATGGATTAGCCTGTGGGCCATCCCTGACACTGGCTGGTTCTGCTCTGGGAAGCGACCCAAGGGAGGGCCTGGGTAGGTGCGGAGAACTGGAAAAGTTTGGGGGTCTCACTTCTTTGGTCAGCTTCCCCCCACACACCATCCCTAGGATTGTCACAGCCAACTGCACATTGCGGATCTTTTATTAAACATGATCATGTCCCAGGTGCTACACCAACGAGGAAGAGGAGAGAAAAATCTATGACTGTATCTCCCTGTGCACTCCCTATCTCTGTTCTTTGGAGTCAAGCAGACTCGGACTGCTCATGCTTGGGGTGAGAAAGGACAAGAAGATTGCACTCGGCCGCAGGAGGAGTGAGGCAGGTGTGTGGTCAAAGGCTACAGAGGGGGCTTCAGCTGTGTGGGAAGGCAGAATAAAACAGGGCTGGATCCTTGCCTGAAGTGAGCTGCAGTACAGAGTGCCCCAGTTGGAAATGTGTGAACCTTGGAACCAGTTCACTGGTTCTGCCTCTCTCCCGCCCCCACCCCCCATCACTGGAAATGCCCACTGTGTAGTAGAACAACAAAAACATCTCCTAATACCAAGTGCCATGTGGGCCAGGAATGGTCCTCTTAGAGTCTCATGTGAAACTCCAGCACAGAGAGGGCTCATCACAGGCCACCTTCGGGCTAGGACACTGGCCCCAAATCCCTCAGCTCTTGGAGCCAGACTCCCGGTGGCCTCAGCTGCAGTTGCTGAGCCTTGTTGCTTAGCCCAGTGCCTGTATGTCCAAGGCTCCCCCAGGATGAGTCTCTTTACTGTCTCTGTGAGCAAGGGTCAATCATAAGTGTCTTGTGAGTGATGCGGGCAGAGCTGAGGCAGGAGAAGCATGATGAAGAGTCTGGTACGGCCAACAACAGGATTGGAAATCAACCACTGCGTGGACTGAAGGGAAAGAGAGGACATGAGACGATGAATGTTTCTGATGGGGGTAGGGGGTATACCAGAGAACAGGGGTCTGTTGGCAGAGATCTGGAGCAGAAGGGCACAGGAGGTGTTGGAGGATGAGGGGAGCTCAGAGTGGTGTCCAGTGTATGCTTGGCCTTTTACCCTGCAGGTCAGGAGGGTGTCTGGGCATCAGTTTTTTTGCAGCTACAGTAGCCCAAAGAACTGAAGGAGGTTGAGGATAAATGGTTTCTAAAGTCTGAGCTCTCAGAACAGCAATGGTGCCAGGGCTCTGAACTCAAGATGAATTCCAGCTCTGTTGCTTACAAAGTTAGGTCAGTCATCAGCTTAATCCCTCGAACTAACTTTCTTCTGTTAAAGAGGGTGATACAGGGGCTGGGAGTACAGTGGTTAGGGCACTTCCCAGAACACATGGAAACGCTGTTCTATTCTACCTATTCTATCCGTGATCTGTGGGATGCCCTGGGTAATCCCCAGCACCAAAGATCCAAACAACAACACATTCTCAGGTTCATGCATTGAACCCTCATTTGCTGAGAGTGTGAGTGGCACTACCAGGTCTCCTGAGCACTGCTTGGGAGGAAACAAAGGAGGTAATACAGTATACAGTGCCAGCCTTATAAGGGGTACACACTTCAGTGAGGCAATGTATATAATGTCTCTGTCACAAACTATCGCAGTGCTGGTGGCTGCAACCACATCGGCTGATACCTGAGCTGGGAGAGCGGGTCTTGAGATCCAGGTGATCTGGATCCAGCTGTGGCTGGCTTTCCTTTACAGCCAAGCCCTCCAAGGCCCATCAGTCCATGGTGAGACAAGCAAGGAACCCAGGCTCCAAACTTCAGGAGGTCTTGGTTCTCAGTGCCCGCCCCAGCCCTCGCCAGCAGACACAGAGCCTATGCCCTGCTTCCTCATCTGACCCCTGAAGCCGCTCTTGGAGCTCGGTTCTTTTTCCTCTTTGGTGCCACCAAGGCAGGTCTGGCTTTCCTGCCACTCTGGGCAAGAGGTGTCCTCTACCTCTGGATGTTGACTGTGGGTTGTATTTCCCAGAGTGAGTTTAAACAAAAACTAGTGTAAATCCCTCTCCTAGCCCCCCCTCCCACTTCCAGTGACAGAGAGCAGTGATCTGGGCTAGAAAGTCCCCACGCAGACCTCTGGGGGGACTCTCTGACCCAAAAACTGCCTTGTGGAACTTGGAAGGCCGAGGAGGTCTGGGCATCTAAGCACATCTCTTGGTGCGTGTGCTCTTTATGTAAGCATGGGGCCACTGGACTAGCACAGAGGTGGCATGGAGAACATTCTCGAACAGCCCCAAGTCCAAGTTAAGGATTTGCAGGGGATGGGGGTTGACTCTTGATGTCAGTAATCAATTCTCTGATTCGCAAACCTGTGAGGCTTGCACAGTTCTGAGAGTCGGGGAGGTAGCACTGAGAGGAGACCTGAGTCACCGAGCATCTTTCCCTGGCGCCTCCTGTCCATTGGAGAGGGCCTAACTAAGAGAAGCAAGGGCTGACAGGAGGCTGGGAGTGGAGTCGGGCGTACTGGAGGTGGGGAAGGGGACCCCGGCGCAGAGAGGGGCCGGATGGTCTGTGATTGTCCGCGGCCCGGGGCGGGGAGGAGTGAAGGGGCAGCGCAGATGGGAGGGGCCGGGGCCGGGCTGCCCGCCGGGAGACGCGGAGGGAATGAGGCAGGCGGGGTCCGGACCGGACTGACCCAAGGGGTGAGACGCAGGGAGGGCAAATGCAGCGGCGGGGGTGGGGGGGTACGGGGCACTGGGCGCAGTTCAGTGGACTCGGAACGCAAACTCGGGGGAGGGAGGCGCTGGCGGTGGGGGCGGGTCCGACCCCGCCCCGGCGGGGCGCGGGAGCGGCGGCCCTATAAGGCGGGGCCCGGGCCTGCCCCCGCCCGCCGGGCCATGGACCCGCCGGCCGCGCCCCCGGGCTCCCCGGCCCCGCCGTCGGGGCGGCGGCGGCGGCGGCCGCTGGAGCGCGGGAAGCCGCCCTACTCGTACATCGCGCTCATCGCCATGGCGCTGGCGCACGCCCCGGGCCGCCGCCTCCCGCTGGCCGCCATCTGCCGCTTCATCTCCGAGCGCTTCGCCTTCTACCGCGACGGCCCGCGCCGCTGGCAGAACAGCATCCGCCACAACCTGACGCTCAACGACTGCTTCGTCAAGGTGCCCCGCGAGCCGGGCAGCCCGGGCAAGGGCAGCTACTGGGCGCTGGACCCCGCGGCCGCCGACATGTTCGAGCACGGCAGCTTCCTGCGGCGCCGCCGGCGCTTCAAGCGGCAGCCGCTCCCGCCGCCCGCTTTCGGCGCGCCCCCCCGCGCCCGGCCCCGCGCCCTGCGCGCCCGGCCCCGCGCCGCCCGCGCGCCCCTTCGCCGCCCCCGGCCCGGGCCTCCTGCCGCCCGCGCTGCCGGGGCTGGGCGCCCCCGCGCCGCCGTGCTGCGCGCCCCCCGCCCCGCCGCCCTACGCGCCGGGCCCCGAGCGCCTGGGGCCGCCTCCGGAGCCGCTGCTGGCCGCGTTCGGCCCGCTCAGCCCCGCCGAGCCCTACCCGAGGTCTCCGGGCTTCGCGCCCGCGCTGGAGCGCTACCTGTGAGCCGGGTCCCCGCCTCGAGCGCCCTCCCCGCCCCTCCCCCGCAGCCCGGTCTCCGCGCCCCTCCGCGAGGACCCCCGGACGCCCCGACGTGCCGTCGGCGCGAGCTCACCGGTCACTCTTGGCTCAGCCCGGAGGTCCCCGATCCCACCCCGGGCGGCCCCTGCTTGCGCGTCCCTCCGCGCGAGCTCCCGCAGCGCTCGCGTTGCGCGCAGGGGTGCTCGGGCGCCGAGCTGATCTCCTCCAGGGGGTCTCCGGGTTTCTGGCGAACTCCGAGCCGCGGAACGCCAGCCCTTCCGTCTGACGCTGTCGCCACCACCGGCTCCGGCTCACGGCGGCGGGTGCTCGCCCGCACGCCCCTGCTGAATCCGCCTTGCTCCCCCACGAAGTAAGTTTGGCTTCAGCTCCACGGACCTGTGTGTCTCCGGTTCTTTTCACCAAGACTCACCGGCCGCCGCCCGGTTGTTGGAAGCCTCCCGAAGCCTCCAGGTTCTGCGACGTCGCAGACCAGCCTTTCCCCCTCTCCCCACATCACACACCGAAGGGCTGCTACGGGGCTGTTCCATAGGAATCGGGGAAGCTTGGGACTCACTAGCTTACTACTATTCTTTTCAATTAAGTCGGTTTCATTAAAAAAAAGACGAAACCTTCCTCTGGGTCTGGTGTGCTGGCTGGTGGTCGGGAGAAAGCAAATGGGTTTTGTTCAGATCTCTGGTTGTGACTGAGGACAGCTGTTGGACAGTTCACGAAATGGGGGCTGAGAGATAGGACAGCGGGGAGGGCACTTGTCTTGCACCCCGTCAGTCTGGGTCTGATCCTCTGCACCGCAGGTCACCTGAGCCTTGCCAGGAGTCATCCCTGAACACTGCCAAGTGTGGCCCCGAAACAAACAAAAAGTAAAGGTTCATGGAGTGGGATGAAGTGGGGTTAGGCTGTGACCAAGCCAGATGGACAGATGCAGAAAACACTCTTGCCTGTGAGCCCTGGCGCAAGTTGGTAGAGATGAAGGATACTGAGTGGCACACAGATTCTGGCTAGTGTACCTGGCTAGCATGCCACCTGGGTTTGTGGCTATGTGGGATTCCCAGCTTTGATGCTTAAGGGAGCAAAGGCCTCTCCTCCAAGTTCTTGAATGCTCCAAGCACTGGGTAGGGTCCTGGGTATGCACCCACAAGGGGGCAAGGTCCCTACCTGCGCCCAATAAGGAGACCCATTCCTGAAACAGGGACTGTGCATATCCTCAAGATGTGGCCTCTGAACCTACACCTTAAAGGCAGCTCAAAAGGCAAAGACTCCCCATGCAGGGAGTGGGGCCCCACTGTGGTTTCACGCGCACCCGTCTGCACTTGGGGAGCTTGTCTTAGCACTGTCAGCCATTTCCTCATCTTCCCTCTACTAGACTGGGAGCGGGCAGCTGTAGCCTCGTTATCCCCAGCACCAAGGACAGGGCAGCGCGGGGGGGGGGGGGGGGGGGGGGGGGGGGGGCCTCTTAGGTTGCTGTCAGAGGGGCGTAGCTTTTGACTCTGTCCTGCTCTTTTGTATTGAGTCACAGGCTAAGCACCAAGTTCCCAGGGGTTTTCCAAGTTTCTCCCTGGCCCAGGGATCCCAGTGGGAGACTGGTTTTGAGTGTTGGATGCATCCCTCTCTAAGGTGGAGGGTGGGGGCTGGAGAGATAGCACAGGGGGTAAGGCGTTCGCCTTGCATGCAACAAACCCAGGTTCGATTCCCAGCATCCCATATGGTCCCCCGAGCACCACCAGGAGTAATTACTGGAGCCAGGAATAACTCCTGAGCATCGCCGGGTGTGACCCCCCAAAAAAGCAAAAAAATAAAAATAAATAAGGTGGAGGGTGGGGAAGAGAGGGAAAGCTCTCTGGAAGTAGGACTTGAAGTACCCACAATCTGCTTGGAATGGTACTGGAGAGACTGTCTCCAGCTCTGCCCTTGGAGCCCATCAGATTTCATTTGTCCTTGGTGTGACTGCCCAGAACTGACTTTGTAGCTGCTGCCTGACCAAGTGAATGACTCCCTTGAGTCTCATGTACCCCTGACTTCCTGCACAGTGACAGGGTTTGACAGACCTTGGATCCCTTCTAGCTATTCTCAGCCCTCCTGGAAGTGACCAGCCAAAGAGGCGACAGAGGTGGGGGGGAGGGGGAGAGAACTTTCGTCCTCCCAGGAACCCAGCAGGGAGATAAAAATCCAGCTTCCTAAGATCAAAACACATTTTCTTCGGCTCCATTTGGAGTTACAGGCCTCAGCCCGCCTCAGAGAACCTCTGGATAAGTCTTTTCTTATCCTAGAAATTTCCAGAGAAAGGGAAACACCAGGCTGAAGCCTGCGACTGCCCTCAGGTCTGAACGTCTTTCTGCCTCTGAACTGGCCTGTAGGTCTCTGTCCCCTGAAACCTGTATCAGATGAGGTGGGGAGTATCTGTACAGAAACACCAGGAAGACTACCACTGAACAATCAGAAAGGTCTTAAAATTACTTCTAAAATGTGCCCTTTTCAAAGGCCCGTGTGCTTGCTGTGTGTCAGGCCCTCTGCAGGGCTTGGAGGCCAACATGGTACAAATGAGACTTTCTGCCCGCAGTTCCCCAGCTGGCAAGCTTTCAGGGTCTGTGCCCTGAGGACTTGAAACTCTGGTTGATGTTGAACAAACAAAACAAAAACCCTAATCCAATTCTGTTTTTAAAAAGCACACAAAGCACTTTTTATTTAGAAGTGAAAATGGAATATTATTCCCCCCTTGGGGAGAAAATAATTTGCATAAAAACTTTAGAATGTCAAGTATAAACTTACCCTTTCATTCCTGTAGGAGATATCTTTAATCCGAAGACACACTGAAAACAAACTCTTTTTTTTTTTTTTTTTGTGGGAGTGTGGGGACTAGAGAGATAGTACAAGGATTAAGGTATGTGCCTTGTGAGTCATTCCTGGTTCAATTCCTGGTACCACTGGAAGTGAGACCGGAGCACAGAACCAGAAGTAGCCCCTGAACACAGTCACGTGTGGCCCAAACACCAAAAAGAAAAGAAAGACAAAAAATAAAATGAAAATTTGTTTTTATTAAATTAAAGTAAGCACATAATCTACAGAGTCAAAAGCAACCCCAGACTTTTAATGATTCCTTCCCTACTCTTTGGACCTCTCTTTTGTTCCCAGAAGCATCTGTCAATTCACATGTATTGCTTTTGGAATATATCTCCATATTAACTTTGTTATAATAATTCTTGACTTCTAAAATCTTTATCTCTTCCCATCCTTATCTAAATTACCTTTTTGATAAGTTCTTAGAATTTACATAAAGACTTTAAAATACTCTTCTCTAACAACATATTAATGTAGCCTAATCACAGTTCTCTTTTTTTCTCTTGTTGCAACATATGATTTTTTCCTGGGATCTTGCCTTATAATTTTGTTCACTTAGTTTTCTTTGTCTCACTGACTAAATCGTTCCATACCCTCCAATAGCACTGTGGTATAATTTTTCACGAGGTCAGACATATCAGGAAATCTATCATTGCTTTCGGTTGTTGGGATTTTCCTTTCCTCAGGGCAAGTCCTCCAGCTCCAGTCAGGGGCTGGTCGCTCTCCATGTCTGCTGCCCAGATGTGAGCCTGAGAGCCCCCTTTGCAGAGTCCTTGGCATCTCTTCCATCTCTATCTGGTGTTGGTTCGTCTGTTTCCTGATTTCCACTGCTTCCTTTTCGTAGTTTCCTTCTTGATTTCAGTAGTGAGAATTTGTGCACATTTGTGAACGTGATTTTAGCCTGAGAGTTGACTGTGCCCTTAAGGGGAGAATGCCTGGTTCCTTGCTGTGGATTTGGAGACTTACTTTGGAGTGGTTGATGACTGGGAAGGGGAAGGGGCTCTGGGTGCAGTATTGGCTAGGAGGTGGCTTGTCATTAGAAAGGAGGGTGCCTGTGATTGATGGGGTGGGGGGAACCCAGGCAGGGAAAGGGTTCTGAGCTCGTCAGAGTAGGAGGAGTGCTAAGGGTGCTGTTGCCTGACTACTGGTGACTTGGGATACTGGAGAGATGATAGTGGTCCAGGATAATGCTGAGCTGGTCAGAGGTAGCTGCAGAAAAAAATCTTAACTCTGGCCTGTGGAATACTCAAAGCACAGGAAAAGTGACATCCCTTCTAGGGACCCTGGCAAATGCCCCAACAGGGAAGATTCTTCAGGCACTGTGCAGGACTGTGGGCATCACCAGGGAATAATGGAAAGATATGCCATGAAGGACCCTCTACTATTACTTAGCATCGAGGCTGGTCTTAAGCCAGTGCCAAGCACCTTTCTAGAAGTATGAGGTGGGAGGATTTTTTTCCTGGGTCACACCCAGTGATAATCAGGGGTTACTCCTGGCTCTGCACTCAAGAATCACTTCTGGCAGTGCTTAGGGGGACTATATGGGGTGCTAGGGAGTGAATCCAGGTTGGCCTCCTGCAAGGCAAGCACACTACCAACTGAACTATCCCCCGATCCCCCTTTAAAAAATTTTTAAAACTTTTTTTGGGGGGCAACACCTGGAAGTGCTGGAACACCTTGAGCACATGATGATGAAATTTATTCACTGTTTTTTTCTTCTTATACAAACTGCAAGCATTCCTTTACAGAGTGGGCCATCTAAGTCCCAAACCACTTCTTGATAATGACCATATTTTTGCCTTAACTGAAGATTAGAGGATCAGTGTTTTATAATAAATGAAATGAATACTTTAGCAGTTTTCTGATACTTAAGATATCAGGAGTTCATCTAAGTGAGTCAGAAATGCTTATCTGACCATTTCATAACTACTATAGTAAAAAAAAACCCTACAACATTAAAAAATAATAAATTCCACATATATATAAGAATATATTCTTGGGGACAGAAAGATAGTACAGCAGAGAAGGTACTTGCCTTGTATATGGCTGACCCTGGTTCGATCCCTAGTACACCGCATAGTCCCCTCAGCATTGCCAGGAGTGATCCTTTAGCACAGAGCCAGAAGTAAGCC